AAACCCGAACCGATATAAATCCGAACCGAAACCGAACCGAAACCGAAACCAATCAAACCGAAATAAACCCGGAACCGAACTGACCCGAACCGATTATAACATATATCCGAAAGAGACCCGAACCAAAAAGACCCGAACCGGAACCGAACCGATTGACCCGATTGCCAGGTCTACTTAAGCCCGCTTGTATGTTTGTATATATACGGTGGTGATTAATGAGAAACACAGATCAGTTTTCGTAAAAATTCTACATGGTATCAGAGCCAAACCTAGGCTTCTTTGCGTTTCTGCTCTCCGGCGTCCAACGCCGTATTTTTTTGTTCTTCGCCGATCAGATTCCTCCTCTCCGACGCAAGATCTGATTTCAGGATTGTGCGCTGTCGCTTTCGGAAAGCTTAGCCAGTATTTACTCCAGCAATTTCCCGATTGAGAATTGATCACAACATCTCTGTTCCGTGCGGTTAGTCGGCATCTCGTATGTTGCTGCTATTGATCGTCCGGTTAGTCGGCTGCCAATAATTGCATCTATTGATTGAGTGCCTCTGTACTGCCCATCATGGCTAATATTTCCTGCGGTGATATTCATCAAACCTTCTGCCAAAATTGCCCTTTGTTGATTGTGCTGCTGCTGCAAATATTTATTCTTTATTGTGCACTATTGTTGTGTGGTGGTTTTTTTGTTCTCCATGATTAATTCGACACTCTCTTCGTCGGATAAGGTACACGGTATGTCCCTTAGTGTGCCGTGTGAGTGGCTTGTGGACAACGGTGCATCTCATCATATGACAGGAATATTTTCGTGTTTGACTGACATAGTACAGAGGCCTCCTTGCACTATAAGTTTGCCCGATGGGGCTCATGTGGTGGCAAATTCTTGTGGTCGAGTACAAGTGTCTCCTTCTTTAACTTTACATAATGTTCTTTATGTTCCTAATTTGAAGTGCAATTTGATATCAGTGAGTTGTCTTGTCAACTCACATAACTGTCATGTTTTCTTTGATGATCATTCTTGTGTGATACAGGACCGAACTACGAAGACGCGGATTGGTCAATGTGAAGCACGCAACGGGGTCTATGTCTTTCCTTCTCAAGCCCAAGCGTCCAAAGCCGAGTCTGTTTCCTTATTACACCAACGTCTTGGTCATCCGTCTCCTCAAGTTTTGTCTCTACCTCCATTTAATAAGAGTA